GCGGAAACACACCTTTATCATACTTGTTGAATGCATTCAATTCAATATTTCAAAATTGTGATGTGGATATCCATTTTGATAGCTTAAATGTTTTTAAGAGGAAGGTACTAACACATTACACAGCCAAATAATTTTTTCATTTTAAAAGTTTTTGTACTTCCTCTCTTTTTTTCCATTTATACATTATATAAGATAGGTTTTTTTTGTTTGTTCTAATTATATTATTTTATTGTAGTGATAGTTTTATAGGTTACTGTTCTCCTTAAAGGAAGTCTTTTATTATATGTTGTTTTTACATAAACATATAACATAAACACTCACGCCTGTCACCCAGAGGGGTAGGCAGAGACTACAGACTTCCATTTAGCACGATCCTGACATACCTTTCTCGCCTCTTCCACATCCATATACCTTCGCATACATGCTCGTCGGTTAAGGGTACTCTTAATTTGGCCCATTTTTAGTATATCGCCAATTTGGTCGACAAACTTCCGCCTAGGACGTCCCTTTCCGACTCTTCCATTCACTTCTGCAACATATATTTGCTTTGTCAGTCTTTCCGCATTCATTCTTTCTACATGACCAAACCACCGAAGCATTCCTTTCTTAATCCTGGTCACCGCATTATCTTGCAAACCACACTCTTCTTTTATCACACAGTTTCTCACCCTGTCACTCAGATTCAGCCCTAACATACTCCTTAGCGACCGCATTTCTACTGCATTTATTCTACTCTCGTGCTTCTTCTGCCACACCCAACTTTCACTACCATACGTTAAAGTAGGGACTAATACAGCACTGTGAATTGCCATACGTGCCTTTTTTGATACATTCTGACTTTTCACAATAGAGTGTAGAGCCCCATTTACTTTATTTCCTGCATTCACTCGTCGTTCAATATCCTTATCATATCTCCCATCCCTGCTGAATACACATCCCAAATATACGAACTCATCCACTTGCTCAATTAACTGTCCTTCTATTCTTATTTCACATACCGTTTTGCTTTCATCTCTTTCAAAAACCATCACTTTCGTCTTACTTGCGTTCACTTTTATTCCCCTTTCTTTTAATGACCTGTTCATTAATGTAACCATCATTTGCAACTCGGCCTCCGAAGACGCAAGTATGATTTGATCATCGGCATAAAAAAGGCATTTGATGGTTAACTCACCCATTCTTAACCCGCATTCTTCAACTTTCAAATTTTCCAAACAGCTGTCCATAAATAGGTTGAACAACCACGGGGAAGCTACACAGCCCTGTCTGACACCTTTATGGATGCCAAACCAGTCCGAGTAGACCCCGTTGATTCTAACACAAGCACTCGAGTCCCTATACAGAGACTTTAATGCCTGTATCAAATCAGCGCTCAACCTAAATGCGTTCAGCGTTTGCCATAACACATCCCTGTCCACTCTGTCATAAGCCTTTTCCAAGTCCATGAACGCACAAAAAACTTTTTGGTTTTTCGCCAAAAACTTCTCCGCGATCATGCGCATGGAAAAGACTTGATCTGTACACCCCATTCCCTTTCTAAATTTCGCTTGCACATCCCAAATTTTTTCATCAGTTTCTTTCATAACTCTTTCAATTAGTACCTTAGCATACAGTTTTCCCACAATGCTAAGAAGGCTGATACCACGGTAGTTTTTACATTCCTGCTATGACCCTTTTCCCTTATATATTGGGACTATCACGGCTTTGCACCAGTCTTCCGGTACCCGCTTTAGTTCCCAACATAAATTAAACAATGTGTACAGCAGGCCTGCCACCACGTCCTCTCCAGCCCTTAGCATTTCAAGTGAAACTCTATCATATCCGGCTGCCTTACCTACTTTCATGCTTTTCATTGCTTTCGTTATTTTATCTATACGTATCTCCCTATCTCTTTTATCTTCTTTTGGAATTTCTATTTCATTTAGTTCACACTTCTCCTCACTCATAAGTTCGCTTTCAAAATATTCCTTCCATCTCTTTAGACTCAACACTTCATCGTACAGGATACAGCCATTCTCATCTCGTATCGCATTCAATCTAGGCTGTTTTGAAAGTCCCCTGGTATTTCTTACGAGTTTCCAGAACATTTTAATATTTGCCTGGAAGTTATCCGATATTCTTCTATCATTCCTATCCGTTCTTTTTTGCTTTTTCCTTTCAACTAATTCTTTTACTCTCTTATTTAAACGTTTAAACTCTGCCTTTTTTCTTTCATTCTCATCATTCTTACCGCCAGAATTACCAGCTTTGGTTGCTAGTAAATCTAGCCACGCTCTCTTCTTTGCTTCAACTTCCATACGTACCTCATCATCCCACCATAACGTATTGTCTTTCCTTTCATTCGTTCTCTTACTAACACCACATACTTCGGTAGCTGCATCCACTAAACCTTTCTTAACATTATGCCACACATTCTCCAAGTCTAACTCATTCACACACAACTCATCCAAATTACTTATATTTTCTCTCAGTCTGCATTTGTACTTGTCTTTCACATCTTCATCTTGTAACCTCTCAATTCTTATACGCTGTAACGCAGTGGTAGACACAGATGTCCTATGCCGCCAACGTCTGAATAAACCCCTAATTCGGCATAAGACCAGGTAGTGGTCCGTCCCTACGTTGGACCCCCGGTAAACCCTTGTATCCACCACTGCGCTCCTCATTCTTTCATCCACAGTTATCAAATCTATCATGCTTCTATCATTACCTCTTTCCCAAGTATACATGTGAATCTTCTTATGACGAAAGAAAGTGTTCGTCACAAAAAGATTCCTTTCCACACATACGGTGAGGAGGCTTTCACCATTCTCATTTATACTTTCATCACCAAACGTTCCCAATATCCTTTCATAACCAAGCGTCCTCACCCCAACACTTCCATTAAAATCTCCTAGCATAATAATATTTTCATTTCCCTTACACTTCATTAACACCATCCTTACCATTTCCCAAAACTGCTCCCGGATATAAGTGGGCTTAGACATGTCTGGGGCGTAGACCCCTAACACAAACAACTTCTTTAAGCCCACTTTCATTCGTATCCATAGCAGTCTTGGGCACACACATTTATTTATTTATCCTTTTTCGTACACCACAATACAGAAACATCAATATAGTCATACTCTTTCACACATTGGCCCATTCTTTCTGAAAGGATGATACCTACTCCCTGGCATGCCCGCTCGATCTCGTCTACACCAGACCAGTATGCGGTATACATGCCATGTGCAGTGACATCCTTCCCCTTCCTTTTCGTCTCATTTACACATAATACATCTATTCCTCTATCATACATCATATCGCATACTTCATCCATTTTATCATTCATTGCCCCACATACATTCAACGTAGCCAGACGGGCCTCTGCAATCCACTTTTCGCCTCTCTGGGAGACAGAACGTGACGGGTGGCGAACCTCGTCGCCGGTTTTCCTCCCGGAGATTCTTCGCACCCCTGCCCCATTAAAGGGGCGCCGGGAACTCGGGGCCATTTCTTTTACTTTTTGCCTCATGGTGCTAAAACTAGGGCGTGGCATATTTTACGCCGCTACCACACGGCGAGTAGCCGAGTCTGTTCTTTCGGCTTTGTCGCTCTTTTAGCACCACCCGGGGGAAACGTGTAGGGTGGGCCTAGGATTAGGTGGTCGAAGCCTACGGACGCGAGCGACTTATCCCCCTTATTAGTTGTGTTTACCTTTAATTTAAATGCATATATACAATTTTTTAAGTGCACCTCATAATAATTATTTCTATATGTATTTAGTTGGTAAGCCTTATTAAATAAATAAATAAATAAATTATTATACGAGGTTTGAGTACTGACTTCTGTGTACGGCACAAACGTCAATTTCGTTTCAAAGTATATGTAAATATTGATTAAAATTTACTACTTTTTGAATATACAGAGGAACCTATTATTAGCCTAAAAACACAATATAAAAATATAGTTATTCTAACCAATAACTGTAACGCTGTTGGCTTGTTTAAATAAATAAATAACTTAATTAACCATCCCTTTACACAATTTTGCCTATTACTTTGCAACGGCATTTCTCATGGTCATCTTACCCACGAGACAAAAGGGATGGATTTTCTAACTTTTATTACACGGCTATACTGTAAATTAATATCTTTTTACTTTTTAACATAGGCCATGTCAAAATGTGATGTTCAGACAACATGACAAGTTCGCTAACACTCAGTGAGCAACGCGGCGAAAACTTCGTAATGAGAAGAAACAATCACTTAAACGTGCAAGGTTGTTTCTTAAATAGAAATAGAAACAATAAACTTAAACGTGCAAGGTTGTTTCTTAAATAGAAACAGAAACAGAAACTTAAACGTGCAAGGTTGTTTCTTAAACAGAAACTGAAACAGAAACTTAAACGTGCAAGGTTGTTTCTTAAACAGAAATAGAAACAGAAACTTAAACGTGCAAGGTTGTTTCTTAAACAGAAACAGAAACAGAAACTTAAACGTGCAAGGTTGTTTCTTAAACAGAAACAGAAACTTATTGAAAGTCACTTTTTTCATTACGGTTCGCAAAAAAAACCTCTTTCCTTGGAAGAACCAGCAAGAAACTATACCAGCGGGACTATTTTTCCAATAATAGCTTACAGTCATGTTTACAATAAACAACACAAGACAAATTAGAAATAGCTTGGTAGCGATCACCCTTCCCAGGGGTTATTATCATCCATAAATTCCTTAATATTATAATGACCTTTTTTATACAAACTTAGTTTAATAACATTTTTGAAATTTGTGTATGACAAATTTTGTATATTTTCTGGGATTTTATTGTAAAATCGCATAAATCACCCCAAGAATGAATTACTGACTCGGTGGAGTCGAGTAACTGGTACTACAAGCTTGTGTCTGTTCCTAGTATTTACAGAATCAATATCACTTATTTTCGCAAAACTAATTTTATTTTTGTGTACGTACCTTACATTTTCATAAATATATTTTACTTTTATATCTTAATTTGCGATTCAGGAACAAATGAATACTTTACCGGATGTGATGGCGCGGTGTTTCCAACAACATTTTGAGAGGACTGAACAACGCAGAAACTATCTTCATCCGGATACGGCCGCAGCACCTACACCTCCGTCATCAACCATCTCACCTTATTCTAGGTGAATAAAAATTGTAATTAATATCATTAATTTATGAAAACTAAAAAAATATTTTCCGAGAAACCTCTCTCAAATATTAATTAGTATGGGACACTGCTACCAGCACCCCCTTGTCAAAATTAATGCTTTTTAATTGCAGACCTCTGGCATCAGCGTCACACCCGTGGCCACCTAGTCCAGTTGTTCAACAAGCTACGAGAGCACACTCGACTTCCGAGAGTATCGCAGCCCACTCCCAAACTCCTGTTCAGCCAACGCCGTCGAGCCCTGCGCCACTTATGGCACGGACTCCACTACCTAGCTGAGTACCGCCTTCTAATTCCGAACTTCTTTGCTGAACTCGACGAAACTCGGCTCCTATCCTCTGACCCTACCTATAACAATACTATACCTGTTAAGTTTATCGGGAAAATTGTTTCACCAAAGACAATTGTTGTTGATGCATGATAGAAGGTTTATGATACGATTGACAAAACAGCAGATAAGAAGAAAAACCAATTAACTTAAAAAGGTTTATTCTTTACTGTTTTAAAAATATGTTTAATCATTATTTCGTTAGCTACTACTAAATTAAGTTCCTGACCTTAAATTTTGTTATTGGGCGAGTGAAATGAGTTTCCCGGTTCACCGATGGACGAAGCCGCATTGCGAGAGAAGGTCAGCCGTAGTTGTCATCGCGGTTCCCCAAAGTTTCGGAAGTGCCAGACTGTTGTAGTGGTATTTTAGATAGTTGTTAAAATCAGGTGAAGCAGACCGAGTGTTGTGATTTCATGACATGCTTTATCAATAGCTGCTTTATTAAAAAATAACAATATTTCATGTTTGTTTTCGTTTATTTCATTTGTGTTTATAATTAGGTTTTAAAACATTTAACGTAAAACAATTTGTTTTTAATATAATATAAACATTTACACGAAACTGCACATACAATAATTATTTGATTGCCATTGAAATCAAAATTTGAGATCACTTAAAGATTGAAGTAAAAATAACGATTTCTGAATTTATTAATAGTAATTCGACACAAAAATACGAACCAATATTTACCGTTCATTCATATATGACAGCTTTAGTACTTATAGATAAAGACATTCATTAACAATTCTGAGCTTTCGGCTCTTCTTACTTTAAAATTTTTACGGTTCTATAAAATGTATACACATATTTATAGATATAGATATAGATAACAATTGTTACTACCTGCCTGTTGATATGTAGATTGTAAAGTAAATTATAGTGTAAATTAATAAAAGCTTTGTATAAGACGTTAAGATTGATGGCTGTCTAAATAGTGCCTAATTCACTACAAACATTTTCGAAAATTCTGATTTATTACCTTAAACTTGTGTATGATATGATGTAATTAAGGAGAGTAATTTATGGGATTGTAGTATTTAATATGTGAAATCTCGATTTTGTAAGACGCATATGAATGTGAGAAGGGATCAATTTTTTTTTTAATTTTAGTTGTAAATTTAAAATAAAATCAAAACATATTAATGTTTATGGGTTTAAAAATAATAAGTAACTTTATTATTGCCACTAAACGTGAAAGTCTGTTAATTATTAGATATATTTTAAGATGTACATTTCTCTAAAGAAATTAAAACTGTAGTATAATTTAGTATTTGTAAGTAAGTGATCCAAGAAAAATATTTTTAATTTATAACGCTGAAGTAGTTACCAATTATATATATCTGTGTTGAAAAAAAAACACATATCCTAACACTATTATTCAATAATAAAAATAATTTGCACATAGACTAACAACATCAACACGGTTATGAATAGTCATCTAATTTACACAATAGTTTAATTTGAGTTTAAGCTACTAGTTAGATCCAAGCCTAAAACATATTAATACTAGCCGGTTAAATAGAAAAAATATTTAGAGTAAAATATTTGTGGTACTATTTAATTGGCCAGATTTTCTTACAGGGGATGTAGCATTATAATAAAAAAAAACCATAAATTGCAAGTCAAAAGCGCTTAAAATTTTATCTATTAAGCTTGTCATTTATGAAAAACATGTTCTTTTCAACAAGAACGCAAATAATTAAATTGGTTTTATAATTGCGCTGCATTAGAAAAATCCTGATAGTCTTTCGAAGCAGAACACCAATAGATATAATAGATATATTAGACATATTAGATAAATTACAATTATTACTGAAATAATAATTTAGATTAATGTCTTATTAGTAAAATATGGATCGCTAGCACATACATTTTGTTTAAGTAATTTTTAGCAAATCAAATCTTATAAATCTTAAAACTAGGATACATCATTAAAAAGCCCAACACACTAATAACATGTAATAATCATATTTTTTTATAAGTGGCGACATAAAGATGCGAAAAAAATTATTACTCAGTTCGAACCACTAGATGATTTTTAAATAAAAAACAATTTTTATTTATTTTCAACAATATAATATAAAAGTCTAAAATATAAAAGTCGACATAGGTAACAGTATTTAAAAATGATTTCTTTTGTTTTCGCGAACAATACACATTTAAATAAAACTAGTTTTGACTGATTTTATCGCGTATATTAACTAAACGTCGGGAATATAAAATAAGTTATAAGCGATAAAGTCTGTGTAAACTGGATTTATTTAAGTATTTAATAAATTAATTATTATTTAATACACATTTAATACACATAAACGTCAACGCTACCAGCTTTAATTTTGTTCACCTAATTAAATAAATAAAAATACATGTAAATTAATTAATGATACCAAAATACTTACAATTTTAAGGCAATTTAAATATACCGTATCTCTTCATTGCTTATTAATACATATAGCATAGTTATTTAGGTATTTGTTTAAGGTTTGACCAAATGTTGTTAAGATTATATAAAATTTTGTGTATTTTGTAAATATACCATTTTGTAAACAATAGAATAATGTAAAAATATGAAAATAGGAAAAATATTTGCGATTTGACATGTAAGTTACAGTAAAATAGTATGGTTCCGTAAAATATTTTTAAAAAATTGTTATCTAAATGCAAAAGAGTGTAAGGAGATGCGGTAGGATTGTTTAATGCGGTGCGTTATTAGGCAAAATGAAACTTTTGTGATCATTGTTAATGAAATGAAAGTGTAACTTTGATTATATGGGCTGTAGTATTTTTTTATTTGTGTTTTATTTCCTCTTATATTCACAATGTGGTGTTTGAGAATTGTTGACGAATATAGTTCATGTTTACAACACTGAGATTGATGTAAGCAGGGCAGGACGCTCGAACTGGTAATATCACTCTCTGTCATCAGTCCATGAATTCACGAGTCATTTCCTATGCACTACTGCGTACAGATAAATAAACCTTAATATACCTATGCCCGCTTATATTCCAGCTGCGCGTATTTTCTGTGGTACAATAATTTCGACGCAATCGACATCTAGTGAAAATAACCGTGGTCGAAAGGGAAGTATTAGAACTTTATTAACAATCACAATAAAATAAAAACAAACATTTTGGCCTTTCTGAAGGCAACTGAATATTATTATTTTTATTTTATTTAAAACTTACATGTAACACCTTAAGCTAAAGGGTACATAGGGCGGACTTAATGCCATGTGGCATTCTCTGCCAGTCAACCCTGGCTGCCAAAGACAATTGTTGGCAGATGCGAACCTTATACATAAATAAAGTGCACGTATATTAAAATATACATATATAAAAAGTACATAAATACACAATACATATTATATATATCATCATCATCATTACAGCCCTTCACAAGTCCACTGCTGAACATAGGCCTCCCCCAAGGTATGCCACAAAGGTGTAAGGTGTGTGGTATATATATATATAAAAGTAAAAGTAAAGTTACAGCCTATATACGTCCCACTGCTGGGCTCAGGCCTCCCCTCATTTCGGAGAGGGTTTAGGGCAAGGAAGTGTCCGCCGCGCTGCCCAAATGCGTGTTGACGAACTTCACATGTCTTCGAAATATTTTTTTTCTTATTCTCAGACATGCAGGTTTCCTCACGGTGTTTTCCTTCACCGCCGAGCACGTGGTAAATCAACACTTAAAATTGCAATTAACAATTTCATTGGTGCCGGCGGGGATCGAACCCGGGTTACTCGCGTTCTGTTATATTTACAGCGAGCGTTAACCACTGAGCTACCACGGTCTCTCTCTCTCTCTCTCTCTCTCTCTATATATATATATATATATATATATATATATATATATATATATATATAATGTTTGAATAATTATATACTTAATGGAAAAAAATAATTGAGGAAAAATAAAGTCAATTAGTAGTTGCCCTCAGGTAATGTTCTCGGAGAAGTTCTTTGAAAACTTTCTTATTTGTGGCATTCTTAATATCATTGGGGTGGGTGTTCCAAAGTTGTGTGGCTTGTATCGTAAAAGACGACTTAAAAAAGAGACTTAGACTTATGCTGTGAAAACCTTAACCTCAGACGGTTTGAATGTCGGGATGTTCGACCGTCGATCGACTGAAAAAAATCAAAATTATCCTTTAGATAAGAAGGCTACCTTGGATCGTTTAAAATTGAATAAAGTACAAGTAAAATTCTAGAGCATCGCCTTTGACGTATAGGTGGCCATTTAAGCTTTGAACGATAGGATGATATGTGGTCATACTTACGTAAACCAAAAATAAACCTTATGGAATTATTAAGAAGGCACTCCAACTTGTTTAGAAGATTTTTGGACAGATTTGGGTAAAAATCCATTATTTCATGGAATTACAATATGGAATCAAAGTTCCATTATAAATTACAGGATAGAGATTTTCATAATCAACCTTAGCCAATAATTGCGAACTTCCGAAGACTATAACTTTGCATTTGGCTGGATTAACAGAAACGCCATATTTACATGACCATTATGTTATGACTTCCAGGTTATCATTTAGTTTGTGTATTACAAAGTTAAGATTATTTGAGCCTGACTGTACATAGAGCTGAAGATCGTCCGCATTCAGATGGTACGAACAATCTAAAACTGAGGAGATAGAATTTATAAATAAGGAAAACTAATAGGAGAAAGTATTCCGCCTTGCGGCACACCAGATTCAATTTCAGCCCATGCAGAAAACCGCTAACCTGAGCGAACTGATTGCTGGCGACCGCGAATATAAGAAGAAAACCATTCCAAGACTGGGGACGAAAATTTAAGATCTTTAAAGACGAATAGGAGGATACCATGATCCACTGTGTTGAAAGCGTTTGAAAAGTCAATAAGCGCCTCTTATATCGTCTGTGACTTTGATAAGCGAAGTGTAAGTGCTGTGACCAGAGCGAAACCCAGATT